AACCGAGTTAGCTCACTTGTCTTCTCTAATCTGCTTTACTCTTCCCTCTTTGTTTCATTTCCCTGTTTAAATCAATAAGTGCATGAAATATACATATTCAAAAATCCATTCTTATATTTGACTTATTTAATTCCTAACTTCAACCAATCCACGAAATTGTGTCATGGTTTCTTATCAGCTGCTTACGTTCCTAATGGACCATAGGTCGCCGACCAGCATTCTCCAATGCACTCTGTCCTGTGCCTTCTTTTCTAGTTCTATTCAATTTTTGTTCATTCTTCTCATGTCTGTCTTGATTACTCGGCGTAAAGCTGCTTACGACCATATATATTAAAGTGTAGCATTGAAGTATGATAAACGAAAGTGATGATGGAAGGAATTAAAGTAACAAAGATTATCGTCATCAACTCTGGGATCTAGGTACATCTAGCTGACGAGCCACAAAATAGGACGAAACGCACATCCTGGATTCCACTACTAGCCACTATCCATCTTTTGCTTAAAATGCTTGTGACTTAATGTAATGTCAAGGCAATCCATACAGGATGCACAATAAGAGACTGATCAATTGCAGTCTTAAACAATAGGAAGATACAAGTGAATCTACTTACTATATATACCTGTGAGTGACCAGGTGTGAGATAATCTGAAGATGGGATTCCAATTCATAAGCACCGGGTGAAGTATGAATTAAGTGACGTTATGCGAAATGAATGGTTCACTCGCACAAACAAATGTCGACAGGTCCTCTTCTCATTGTCTCTAGCTGCATTTACCAATTTATATGTACTTGCCGAAGTGCATACATTGCACGAACGGAGTACATATTTTCATTTCCGGGTATAATTGACAATATTTGTTAGTCTAAACCATTTCGTCATCAAAGTCACTTGCCTCATTTTCTATCATAACTCAATGTGAAACTTTGATGCAAATCAGTGGTCGAAAGCAGCTGATAAGAAATCATGAAATTTAATGGATTGATATTATTATTCTATAATTTCAATAGTAGATCTCATGAGTCGGTCTAAACTAGACCACCATCAGAAACCTGGAAGCACTGCATGGCCGTTTCGTCCTAGTATAGGAATCCTCAGCGGTGCACATCTACGATCCCGCACTCGGAACTCAAACCCAGGACCTCCGGTCTCTCAAGAGAATGCCTAACTTCCACAACTATTGTTTTGGCTTTATTCATGTCCATTATTCAAACAGATGATTCAGTCAAACAGAAACAGAGGTACGAATACAGTAGCGAAATCCCTGACATGATTTCACTACCCAGATTATTAATTTTCTACCCCATGCTGAATTTATTTGAAACTATCAATTTCAACCTTGGTTAGATTACATTTATTTTGCTCATTTCTGTCTTGTTTGTTTTGCGCTATACTACTTGCGAACAATCAGTAGTTTGAGCTATACTAATTCATTTTCGTAGCTCATGCACTGTTATCAAGGTACAGTTGCAAGTATCTACTTATTTATCAATTTCTAAACCTATATAGATGCTTTGTTTAATCAATATTATTAGAATTTTAGTGGTTTTTCTTCTCTGAAATGTCGTTTATAATGAATGGTTCTCTTATTTTTGAGAGGTAGAATCAAACTCTTTGTCATTATCTATTGATATTCTCATTTGATACTTCTCTATATGCTAATCTATAGTACTCCTAGTAATTATATTCTTATTCACTCATTTAAGGGTAATAATCTTACTAAATTGCATTAAAATTCAACTCAATTTCTAAAACGAATCTTCCCAAGTTACTTTTTATGAATTATTGACGTTGATCCACCTGAAGCCAGTGTAAAAACAAGTTAGGTAAACCAGAAAGGCAAATGTGGTGAAAAACTGATGCACCGATTGTGAAATTAGATATTTTATGTTTTGTTTAAACCTATTATGATAATACAAAGGGATTCCATAATGGGCGCTTTAAGCTGGAGTTCTTGCTTATGTTCTGTCGAGGTCCTAAACTTGTTGGGATTACGAGTATTTCGTTGGGCTATTTCAAATTCTATTTATCCATTTAAACACATAAACATTGGTACAGGGTGGCACCAAATAGATATACGCCACACAAATCATTCAGTTTATGTAAGGGCCGGGATACCCAAACCGAAGTAGAGTAAACCAGACAGGAGAGACTGGATATCATTCAATTGAGGAATAAGGCTTATCATTACTGCGTTCCCAGACAAAAAAAAAACAGTATATCCACTAATAATTCATTTGAGTATTCAAGAGTATGCAGAATAAGGGTGATGTACTTTCCGACAACTCCAGGCTTATTCATTTAGATTTGGATACCTTATAGCTCTAGGTTTGTAATTATTATTTATTTTGTTCCCTATACTTCTGGCCTTGGGTATTCCGTCCAAAAATTGATCATAAGGTTGGAATCTTCTTGTAGATTACATAATAGATGCATATCGGTTCAAAAAGATCCATGAAAGTTGTATTATGTCAAGTGGGAGGTGATTTGACCTTTGAGAGTCCAATACAATCACCAAGTGAATTTTCTATTATAAACCAAATTACGTGTCATTGTTTAAAAATGTTTCTTTATTTCATATGAATTCGAAAATGAGATTGATGGCGAATAGATCTCAAATCACATAGTTGGCAAGATTGCATTAGTTAACGAGTGTTATTCCCGGTTTTCATGTAAATCAGTCAGTCAGTAACAACGTAGAACTTCGTACGTACGTACATCAGTTCGAGTTGTCATACCACTTTAGCACAGAGATGCAGTTGTCGATTCAAATCTCATGGTGGTAGAGGTAGTAAGAGTATAAGCAGTAATCTGAAAGACTAGGGTTTGGAGATGTTATTTAAATAGTATAATCCAGTGAAATAAATTTGGAAAGAGAAAAACGAGACAAGGAGAAATCAGGAGATTAAAATTTGAGAGAACACAGAGTGGATGCACCTGCGCCATTGCAAACGATTTTGAGCCATGTTAGTTAAGGTCTCTAACCGTCGGTTGCTATCATCTCGCGGTCCCCAACCAGGTAGTCTACACCTATCAACATGACTCAGTTCACTTGTCAGTGACTTCATGGACTTATGCCATGTTTTGGTCTGGCCGCCCCTATCTTTTTCCAACCTACTCCTATACCACTGAACATCGTATGTCGATGCAGTCGGTCGTTGGGCATACGTAACGCGTGTCCCAGCCATCTCAACTGATGAAGTTTCACTACTTCATCAATGGATTTGCCATCCTTACCTAGTACCCGTTTCCTAACAACTACGTTACTTACTCGATGGTCTCAGGATATACGAGCAATATTTTGAAGACACCTATGATCAAATACTAGTAACCTACGAATATCCTCTACTCTTACCGGTCATGTTTCACTGCCATAAAGTAGGACGGAACGAACTGCTGCGCAGTAAACACGTCCTTTGGTTGATAGACGGATATCTCGCCTACGCCATAAATGACGCAAGTCGGTGAAAGCTAGTCGAGCCTTCTGTATACATGCTGAGATTTCGTCACACACCAGACCACAAGGGCTGATGAGACTTCCAAGATAAGTGAAGCGGTCGACACGCTCAACTACTTCACTCCCTATCATTAGTTCGGATGTCGATACAACCCAATCCTGAAGCAAGATTTTGCATTTCGAGGGGAGAATCGCATGCCGAACATGCTTGCATTGTTGCCTAGAGTGGTCATGCAAATATGAAATGCACAGCTCAAATGACAACTAAATAGGCTCATTATGTGCTGAAAGATGCATTCATGAGAGCACACACTGAACAATTCTACATAAGATTCGAAGTGCAACTAGTAGTCGAGCGAATATACTTACAAACGCGTTGCCGAATCATTTCGAAGCAAAAACAAAAAACTGGATTTGCTTTCCTCGAATTTTGAACAAGAATCAATCGGAGGCCGCCCTCCACCCATTATTCTGCAGATTCTAAACTGCACTCCAGAACCTAAGCTTGGTTTCTTGAAAATCACCAATGCGGTTCGTGGGAATATTTAACCCAAGTACCCATATACTTGCTTGTTATAAAAAGTGAATATGCCCCAATTGTTGGAGACTTTCGGCAGTAATCATGACCCAATCGTGTTGTCAGACCGTGTCGAGCATTGATGGCGTCTTGAATATCGACAAACTATCAGCAAGAGATAGTAGCCACTTACAGAAAACTACTTCGGAGATCCAGAAATACTGATAGCTCTGTCGTTATTTTAAGCCCTCATTTAACCTGCTCTACTTTGGGTATCTACGGAGGGGAGCACCACTACCAGCGATACTTCGACTGAATCAAGCAGGTAACTTGAAGAAAGTCCGATCTCAACCGTCTTCAAGGCACTTACACCTTTCTACCTAATCGTTCGTTATTGAGATGACACGGGGAGGTCGAGTTAGAACTCTCCATCCAAGGACCTAACCGGAGATATAGAGGATGGCAGTGACGGAGAGCTTTGGTCAACTTTAATAAACGGCCTGACACATCATATGAAAAGTGAACAGATTCCTAGTGCAGTGCGTCAGACTGAGCTATGCAAAATAACGCCGCTACGGCCTCACTAAATCCGAGGTAGATTTCAGACCGGTACATCAATGACTATTCGTTTACCATCAACGGATAACTTCGGGTAGTACCCCATCTGTATGATACAAAACCACAGAATCCTCCCAAATTTGTCTGGACGATAAACAGTTCTACTTCCACGCGATAGGAGTTAGGGCATGATGCATCATATGACTTACTTTCATAGCCTATACTACGCCTGACCTTAGGAATTATTAGACAAATATTAAGTTACGACGTGTGACCCGTTTAGCGGACTTTGAATCGAAAACCGAGATCAAAACAATGTAGATTTGTAATCAATCAATAAGAAACGAGTAGATAGTAAGAAAACGTACATCTGGTATAATACATAAGCAAAATGACATCTTTACAGAAATGCGTGGTGAAAAAGGAGTTAAAACCATGTCACTGGCTAAATGCAAAACGATTTTGAAGGTCAAGTGCGTGCCGCTGCAGTTGCAGCGCTTGGAGTGGTGGATCCAGAACGCGGAGTCCCAGAAGGCCGATTTTCGGGTGTGTGCCAGGTTAGTCTTTCTTCGTAAAAACGGATTACGATTTGTGGACATTTGATGTTTGCTTCACGAGCAGGTACCAAGTCAGCCTCATCAGAATCTTTCCTATAAAAACACGGGAAGACAACACGTGTGACGCATCGAGTCACTACTCAAAGTAAAAAATACGTGCCAGGATCACAGTCAGGGACCTACCATTTCATCAAAAACATCAGTTCACCACTTGAGTCTGTAGCTCCAATAATCCTTTCAGCTTTCAACCCCCGAGCAAATCCGCGCGTCTTCCCAGTCGCCTTGACAACTTTCTGCTAGAAGAGAACAAAACGACCATCTTGAGACCGCTAACAATTTAATAATCACAAACTATATTTACAGCATTAGTGAAATGAAACTATTCATTAGAACAATCGTACGAAAAACAAGTGCACATAATCAACCCAATATGTGAATACTTTGAAAAATTACCTTCTGGTCTTCGTTTGTAGGTTCCTTTGGTTCATCTGGAACATTTGGCACTTCGCTAGCTGACTCTTCCACACTCGCGGGTATGCTGGATGTTCGCTTTTTCTTTGCTGGTTCGGGTACTTCTTCACTAATGTCCTTAGCGCTATCTGAACTGAGTGACGATCCTTTAGATCTGTTTTTTAGTTTAGAGTCAGCACTCGAAGTCCTGGCAGGGCTAGTAAGTGAGGTTCTTTCACGAGCCCGTCTTTCTTCGAATTCCTGTAAAGTTAATAAATCCAAGAGTTACGTCTTTGAGGGGCCATAAGTTTCAAACCACAAACCTAATTGTGTCGTAATTTTATATAAGTAGGAAGAGTATATTTTTCTTCAGTGGAATTAAGGGGAAATCCCCTTCACCAAGGTTAAAGGGGAAAGCTAGGGAAATATTCGGAAATTTCGATGTTTTGGTGCCATTTCCCCAAACTTTACTACAGTGGCTTCCCCAAAATTGGGAACTCGGGTTATGATGATCAAAAGAATTAGGTCATCACACTTAAATGAAAACGTAGCCAGAATACACTGTTTAAGATTGAAATAGATACTTATCGTCAATTTTATTTACATATTTTGAAAATTTACCTTGATTAAGTCAGGGCAATCCAAGTTTTCTTCTGGCTCCCATGTATTGTCCTCCTCTGAGTAACCCTTCCATTTGAGGAAGTACTCTTTTCGTCCATTTCTTATACGAACCTTCAGGATTTTTTCCACCTGAAATTCATCTTCACCTGCACTTTCTTCAGACTCCCGGCTATTCTTCGATGGCATAACAACTATAGAGCTTTAGAATCCGAGCGCAAATACAATTGAATCTCAAGCGCCCGCGGCTGGCTGCACTAAACAAATGCAAATGTCAATGTTTTCCACAAGTTGCTTATGAATCAACTGAGCCGAATGCAGGTCTATTAGCAACTACTTCTGCAACAGTCTAAATGAAATAACTCCACTGCAAGCTTAAGATTACGAGTGCAAACGTCCACTTACTTAATATATAAGTTATATACTTAAAATTACACATTCATTCGTGCTGCTTCCTTTCCACAGCATTTCTCTCTATGAATGCTATAGAACATACTTCATAAGTTATCTTTCTCTCAAGCAATGTGTATTTGTTAGCTACATAGCGCTATTTAAAAAGGACAGTGGTATTTTTCCTCGCTGAGTAAATTTCTTTGTTTTTATCGTTTACTACGTATCAAGACTACTGTTTTCACTTTAATTGAATTTATTTCAGTTAAAGCATTCGACTAGAGTATCGTTTTTACTGTTCTCTCAATTAGTTTTGTCGTTGGTATTCTTGAGTACCTCTTTTTCAACTGTATCTGTTGGTACTTTTGGTCTTAGCAATCTACAGCTCTTCACTTTTTTGGTCATTGATTATTTCCTTGGTTTCTGAGTATCATCTCATCTTAAAAAAAATTCCTTCTAAATGACCAAACAGTGTAAAAAAAAGCAGTTGCCAACGTCCGGGTTGTCGTTATCCTATTGAAAGCGGCATGCAGTGCGACGAGTGCAAAGGCTGATACCACAAAGTTTGCACGAACTTAACGCCTGCTGCTTTCAAACGGTTCAGTAAGAAGGGTTGTGTATGGCTTTTTCAACAGTGCTGCTCGAAAGTAAACAGCTTGTTAACCGAGGCCATCCCACTGGTTGATGCTGCAAAGAAGTGTTTTAGCAAGCATAGTCAGAACGCGTTAAACAGCACTCGGTCTGTCGACACGCAAATCAACGTGAACGAAACTAAGGTTAGTTCGATGATAGATGACTCACGCCCATCAAAGAAGGAAAAGCAGTCTCCAAAGGGGCCTGCCTTAAACAAAATCTCAAGAAAAGTAGGGTCTTCTGTTCCCCGTCTCCTAGATGGGATCCAACAGGAAACACCTAGAAGCCGCAATCGCAAGGCTCGATCGGTTTCAAGCGGTAAACATAACCTGACCTCTCAGGTCGTCGACAACCTCCCAAAATCAAACACTAGGTTTGACGCAACTGTTATTGCTTTTACCAGCACCGTTGACGACTGGGTACAGGTTGTAAGGAAGAAAAGTAGGGATACAGAAGGGAACCCTGCCCCCGTAAAAGTAGTTAAAAAATCGAAAGCTGATCATAGCGATAGATCAGCTATTTTTCATAGAATCAAGGAGAGCGAGAGCTCTGAACCTAAAGCTCGTTTTGAGCATGACATTGTACTGACTAGGCAGCTGCTTAATCAACTCATGCCTCAAAATATGACCGGGGTCACCTTGCTAAAGGTGTAGAGACTAGGGAGTCTAGCGGACTCGAAACCAAATCATCCCAGACTCCTTAAAGTAGTATTCAGCTTTTTGGACGAACGTGACCTAGTTTTACAGAATGGACACAAATTAAAGGGTTCAGGAGTCTTTATCCGAAAAGACCTACCAATGGCAGACCGTGTTAAAAGACGGGAAGCCGAGAAAGAACTACAACTTAGGCTAGACGCTGGCGAAAAGGACCTGAACATTGTAAATTTTCGGGTTGTAAGACTTCGACAGAGAATGATGCCGAAGCCACTCTGGGTGAAGCACGAAGGCACTTAAACAGGCTTCGGATCTGTTACACCAGTGCACGAAGCTTACTTAATAAGCGATCGGAACTAGGTGTACAGGTTGACTCTACAAAGCCAGACATAATCGCAGTAACAGAAACCTGGCTGACACAGGCTATAGATAGTATGGAACTTGATTTCGAGGGTTTTACGTTAGTAAGGGCCGACAAAACACAAAAGCGTAAAGGAGGGGGAGTAGCTCTATTCATTAGGAATGCTATCCCATTTGCCATTATCGATAGTGTATCCTGTGAGAGTGGGACGTGTGAATTAGTTAGTCTTCGCTTAAAATGCAAGGGACAAGTGCTGCTGATTGGTTTGGTCTATCGCAGTCCAAGCTGTGAGGCAAATGAGGTCCCGTTAAGCAGTCTCAATACTTGGTCCCGAAGTGGTCGATGTCTAATCCTAGGGGACTTCAATGCACCTATGGTAGACTGGAAAAACCTGCGAACTAAATCGTCGGAGAATTCTTTCGAGCAGGAACTAGTTGATGGGGTTATCACATGTGCTCTAGTGCAACATGTGAAAGAAGCGACAAGGTACGATCCAGACACTGAATCATCCTTATTAGATATTATACTGACTCACTATGAGGATGATGTTGCGAACCTCCATAATATGCCACCCCTAGGTAAAAATGATCACGCAGTTTTAATTTTCGACTTCCATATAACTGCCAGTCACGAGCACGCGTCAGTCCAGTCCAGACCCAACGTCCGGAAAGCAAACATACCAGACATCATGCACTCAGCATCGTTAATAGATTGGACAATAGACCCAGAGTCCTCCATTGAAACGGCCTGGGACGCATTTCAAAATTCATACTTAAAAGTTACCACATCTCAAATCCCTTGGACTATACTAAAGGGGCCGAAAAACTCACCACCATGGTTCAGTAGGGAGTTCCGTATCCTTCTCCGTAAAAAAAGGAAAGTGTGGGATAGATTTAGGTTACTGGGGACTGATGAGTCAAAATCTCAGTATCGAAAGGCTCGGAATACTTGTGCCTCGACCCTCCATAAGTCTAGAAAATTGTACGAAGGAAGACTTGTTAAGGAATCCATAGAATGTCCTAAACGCTTGTATTCCTATATAAACCAAAGGACAAGGAGAAAAGGAAATATTCCTGCTCTATGGGGAGACAGTACTGCTTCATCATTAGTGAAGGACGACTTTGGTAAGGCTCAAGTGTTCTCGAACTACTTTAGCAACGTATATACCATAGAAGCGCCCTTCCCGTCAGCGTATACAGATCCCCCATACATACACTGGATAGCGTGACCATTAAAGAACTCGATGTCTTTGGTCTGCTAAATAAGCTTGACATAGGTAAATCCACGGGGCCCGATGAATTACATCCTAGGCTACTGAAGGAATTATCTAACTTCGTTGCAAGCCCTTTAAGTACATGCTTTAACCTATCCGTTACGCAGGGTCGTTTACCGAAAGACTGGAAAAACGCCATAGTAAGTCCTGTCTTCAAAACAGGTACGAAACGCAAACCTGAGAACTACCGCCCCGTTAGCCTAACTAGTGTGGTTGTTAAAATCGTAGAAAAGATTATTCGGAAGGAGCTGTTTAAGTATCTCGATAAAAACCGGATCCTCTCGGAGAAGCAGCACGGCTTCAGAATAGGTTATTCTTGTCTCACTAACTAATTAGTGGTTCGTGAAAGCTGGTGCGCTCTTAAGGACCAAAAGCTACTTGTAGACGTCGCCTTCATTGATTTCAGTAAAGCTTTTGACAAAGTTCCGCACAACCGGCTGTTATATAAGTTAGAAAAAGCCGGGATTGGAGGCAATTTATTGATGTGGATAAAAGACTTCTTAGTTGGGCGTCAACAAAGAGTAAGGGTGAACTCAAAGTTATCTAGTTGGGAAACTGTGCTTAGTGGAGTGCCCCAGGGTACAGTTTTGGGGCCAGTGTTATTCCTCTTGTATGTAAATGACCTTCCTTGTCTCCTATCATCATCGGTCTTGCTATATGCTGACGATGTCAAGATATGGAAAACGATACGATGTAAGAGTGATAGCTTAGAACTTCAAAATGACCTGAAGAAGTTATCTGAATAGTCTCAAACCTGGCAGTTTCCGATAAATACTTCCAAGTGTGTTGTGATGCATATCGGTCATCAAGGCACATATACATACACGATGAATAACACTGAGCTACCTGTCGTCCAGACATATAATGACTTAGGAGTTATCGTTAGTCAAGACTTAAAGACTACTGCACACTGCCGTGCAAGGGCAGCCAAAGGTTTTAGAACCTTATGGTCAATACGTAGAGCTTACAGTCATGTTGACACTAAAACGTTTTTGACTTTGTATACAGTGTTCGTTCGTCCTAAACTTGAGTACTGCATACAAGCGGTTAGCCCGTGCTTAAAAAGGACAGTGAGCTTCTGCAAAAGGTTCAGAGAACGGCGACTAAGCTGATTCCCGGAATAGCGAAGCTTCCGTATGAAGTTCGACTGGCCAAGCTGAACGTTTTCCCGTTGTCATATTGCAGAACTAGAGGCGACTCGATTACAGTCTACAAATTGCTTAGTGATAAATTCGCACCTAACATGCCCTCATTTTTCTTGTCTTCCAAAACAGAGAATTTACGAGGACACTCCAAAAAAAATCATAAGCCGAGAACAAATTACTTGTCAGCTGACTATCGACTTTCCCATCGAATCATCAACAAGTGGAATTCACTACCTCAGCACGTGGTTGAGGCTCCATCCGTCGACTCTTTCAAAAGAAAGTTGGATCAACTGAGAGACCACCATTGCCAGGACTAACATAGGCCATCAAGCCTCCTGTCCTTCCCAAACTGAAACTGAAACATAGGTTTCTCATGGATTATTTAAGGTGGGGAAGTTTTCAGTAGTCTGTACATTATAAAGAACATTTGAAACTTATTTAGGGTCCGAAATACCAAATAAGTATATCGATGGCATTTACTGACGCCCTTTCGGCTAGCGGTGAGTGCATTATAAAAGACATGCAGTTCATAAAGATAATTTTAGTGGAGTTCGATTCCTTCATCTGTGTGGTTTATTTGTGAGGATTTCATCAACCTCCTGGACAACTGATACATGGGAGCTACTTGACTTCGCATACACATTTATTACAGGCCGTTCTGTCAGTCTTTATCTAGACTGATTGGTGTTGATCGTTGTCCTATCACTGTTTGCACTCTTGTTTCGGTTGCAATT